GATGGGGTGTCCATCGACGCATAGGCCTCCTTAGGGGGTTTAGGGTTTAGGGTTTAGGGTTTAGGGTTCTAGGGTTTAGGGTTTAGGGCTTTAGGGTTTTAGGGTTTAGGGCTTGAGGGTTTCGGGTTTTAGGGTGTCGGGTTTAGGGCTTTAGGGTTTCAGGGTTTAGGGTTTTAGGGTTTAGGGTTTAGGGTTTAGACTCTCACTCTCGTCAGGCAGGCAAGGCTCCACAGGATTTAGGGTTTTAGGGGAGACGGCTGAGAGCTCAGGGTTAGGGAATTTACTGGCTCAGGGTCTCGGCTGTTGTATTTCAAAGGTGAAGCATAGGGTATTCCTGCAGGTATGTCTGTATATATGCTGCTAGTGTCAAGGTGCATGTGCATGTGCATATGCAAGCCCATGTAGATGTAGATGTCTACGTATGTGTGCTTGTAAGTGTACTTTTTCTGATGTAAGAAAGTCTATGTCTATGTATCTGTATGCGTCTATGAGTGTCTATCTTCGTTTATGTAAAAACACTTTTTTGTAGTATCTCTCTGTGTGCAGCACCGCGGAAACTGGCTTACACTCAGAAGCCCAAACACGGCGAAGCCGATGCCACGCAAACACTCAAAATCTTGATCTGTCTCGCTCTCTAGGGTTTAGGGTTTAGGGTCTAGGTTTAGGGTTTAGGGTTTATCTTGATCTCTCTCTCTCTCTCTCTCACGGACTCAGTCAACTGTCAGATGCGATGCAAGAATCAGAAGATTTGAATCCTAGATCGAAACCCCCAACCTGCATACCCTCTACCCGAAAGCCCTATAAGCGCCAAGCTCTCAACCTTTGAACCTCTCAACCTTGAAACCCCCCCAAACCCTAAACCCTAAAACTCCAAACCCCAACCAGAAAGCTCTGAATCCCCCAAGCCGAAATGGCCTGGAACTGCCGCTGCGTGGACGCCTGCTGCCGCAGCGTGGCCAGGCGCTTTGCCAAGACAGCTTCTAGCTCCTTGGGGCTCAGCGAAGGAGTGTTTAGGCTTCAGGTTTTAGGGGCTTAGGGGTTTATGGCGGTTTACGGTGTATTAATAATCCATAAACCCCTAAACCCCTAAATCCCTATAATAATGATAGGGTTCGGGTCGAGTTAGGTCTTTCAAGTCCGGAAGGGACATGTAAAGCCAAGATTCGGGCTCCACCACGGCATCCATGGCCTGCGCTCGGTAAGCAAGGACTGCTGGCAAAGTTACATCCAGCTTTGTCGTTCAACATGATGGTTTCCTTCTGGCCCGTACGCAGAGTAACAGACTCCTATCAAAAACTTCGTATCTAAACAGCGGGCTCTATGGCCTCCAAGGCCCATTCCCAGAACACTCCACGAACCAGCCCGCAATCGCCAACTCAATCCACGGCCCTAGCGCCGAAGACCCTAAAACTGTAACTCAACCCCCCCCCCAACCATGAAGCCCCGCAAATCGAACCCTGCCTCAACTAATCAAATCTCGCTTGCATTTTAAGGGCCCCTCAAGTATGTATGACTAGGTATCCTAGAAAGGCCATGAAACTAGAGTGTCAGCATCACCCCAGCAGTTTTGAAACAACAAAGAAAAAGAAGCCTCAACCACCCCTGCCCCAGAAAGGCTGAGAACCCGCTTGAGCAAAGATCATGGAAACCCCCAGCGTTTGGAGCCTCCACGAGTGCCAGGAGCTCTTCCGGTCTCTTCGCCTCAGACGTCGAAGTTGGACTTGGAGCTGAGGGTTTAAGGTAGCCTATAGGGTTTAGGGTTTATGTTTATAGGGCTTTTAGGGGGGTTGATAGGGTTTCCGGCTCATAGGGTTTAGGGTCGAATTCTAGGGTTTAAGGTAGTTTATAGGGTTTGGGGCCTAGGGTCTATTATAGGGTGTAGGGTTGATAGGGTTAAGGGTTTAGGGTCTAATTTCAGGGTTTAAGGTTTATAGGGCTTAGGGCTTCTAGGGTTTAGGGCTGAGGGTTTATTATAGGGTGTAGGGTTGATAGCGCTTAGGGTTTATAGGGTTTAGGGTTTATTGGGTTTGGGGTTTAGGGTTTAGGGTTTATAGGGCTTACAGGGTTTAGGGCTCATAGGGTTTAGGGCAGGGTTCATAGGGTTTTAGTTTTATAGGGTTTAAGGTCTATAGGGTTTATAGTGCTTAGGGCTTACAGGGTTTATAGAAGTTATAGGGTTTATAGGGTTCCTGGGGCTTATAAGTTAGTGGATACCATTTCCATTATCAACCATGCCCACCCCCCTAGCACCCAAACCATAACAACCTATACCTCAACCCTAACACCACCCAAGACCCATAGGTAGAACCCTAGGAAAAACCCACCTGAAGACCCAAAACCATAACAACCTATACCCCAATGTCCACAACATGGAACCATTAGAAGACCCATACACCAC